CCTGGCACCTGGTGGTCCCTAGACCTCGCCTGCAGAGCCCTGGCAGCTTCCCTGCTTGGGAGGTCACATTTCCCATGGGGCAGTGCTCTGCCCCTGTACCAGAGCGCTTTCTAGAATACTCATTCCAATTCAGGCTTTATATTCATTGGAAATGCCGAGTGTTTCCTTCTGATGTTGTGCATCAAAGCCAACTTCAGTGCTTGGTGTTGGCTCTGAGCTTTCTCTGCCTGAGGTTGGGTGCCTCGGAGGGATGTGGGGGGCGGGGGGTGGACTTGCTTCTTCGGGTATACAAAACCACCCTCTTACCTCTTCTCCCCCCATCACTGATTGCCCTCTGAACATCTCTGGGCCCTCCCCCCGACCTGTTCCCACTTAAGAATGGGGTTGCTCACACCTCTGCTCGGGCCTCTTAGCTGACCCTTCTGCTTCTGCAGAGGAACTGGCTGCCCCCTCCAGCTGCACCCTGTACCTCCCCCTCCCCTCAGCCTTGCTGGTGCCTGCGCCAGGCCTCCCCTGTCAGATTCCTGCCTCCAGTTGGCACAGCCCTGCCAACTGGCCAGTCCTCTACCAGGAGTGGTCCTGACCTCCCAGGGACCCTTCACCCCATGTGCATCCCCCCACACATGTACTGCCCCTCCAGAGGGTCGGGGTAGCAGGGTACTTAAAGGCTCGTTCTGTGTTAGATTCCTGCTACCCTGGAGCCTACAGCGGGAGTGCTCAGGCTGCATCTGTGCCCACGCACCGGCCTTCCTCGGTCTGAAGCACTGGGAGGGAGGCCTCCCCGCCTGCAAACAGTGGCCGCTGCAGCTCCCTCAAAGAGCAGAATGTAGGGGGTCCCCTTGTGGGCAGAGCTCTGATAGGGCCCCAGGGTTCCCACCCCCATGGACATCCCCACTAGTCCCTGCCCTCAAGTGCCCTGTGACTATGGTCAGGTTGCTAGACAGCAACTGAAAAGATGGTCTCCTGCTGGCCTGGAAGACAGCAGCCCCATGTTGGGGAGGGGACATGACCCCTGCAGATGAGGGCCTGGCCCTGCCTGGACTCCTCACCCTGGGAAGCACCAGAGCTTAAGGGCCCGTTGTCCCTGGCCACTGTGTCCTAGGCGAGGGGTGAGGCCACAGTGAAAGATCAGCCCAAATTCATACGGCAGCCCTCCCTTCTCACTACCCTATGTCTCCCCCTGTACCTCTTCAGGTGCGGAAAGGGGAGCTGTAGGCCCAGGTGGGCTGCCCTCCCCACTGCGGTGGAGAGGGGCTTTGTGCTGCATAGGGGGTGGGGGAGGGGGCGGGCAAAGAACATTTACTCTGTTATTAGAGGGGCATTTGTCTTGCTGGCTGTGAAATACAACTAGGACTCCACGCCTGATGTCCTGGCTGAGAATGAGGCTGATTGTTCTAAAAGGCAAATGGACCTGGAGTCAGTCTCAGGAGGCCACTGGTGGGGGTGGGGCCAATAGGGGTAGGAACTTCCTGGTAGGAGCATGCAGGTACTTGGGTGTGGGGGGAGGACTCCCTGAGCGAAGGCCTCAGGAGTACCCGCCGCGCCCGCCAGGCTCTCCAGCCCCTCGCCCTAGGTGTGGGCGCTCCTTCCTAGGTACAGTTGAGCCAACTGGGATTTGGGGCCTGGAGAGGAAGTGCAGGGCCACCTGGAGTTGGGAGGTCCAGACTTCAAACCCCAGCACCCGGCAAGATGGGGTCACCACCTCCTCCTCTTGGGTCACTGCAATGGGTTAGCACCCTGCTCACAGGGCGGGGCCCAGCCCAGGGTGAGGGGCAGGAAGGCACACAGGGTGCCCATCTGGCACCAACATCAAGAAAACACAGCAGCCACAAAGATGGCCACCCGGAGAAGTGTTGCAGTGGAAGGCCTTGCAGACCCCACATCTCTCACTGCAGACGGGGGTTGGGGGTGGAAATGGGGGGGTGGCAGGGTGGGCAGTGGGAGTATCCGCCTCCAGGGCTGCTGGCCGGGCTGGAGGGTGAGAACATCCGGGACTAGTGACTGAGTCGGTCCTGTCGGCCATTTTTTCATCATTTAAGTTTTAAATTTTGGTAAATAAAATTTACCACATTGACCATTTTATTTTAATATTCACCTGTTTTTATTGAGAATATGTTTTTATTGACTTTAGAGAGCCAGAAAGAGAGAAACGTTGATGTGAGAAACAACCCTGAGTTGCCGCCCATAGACACCCTGACCTGGGATTCAACCCAAAAACCTAGGTGTGTGCCTGATTGGGGATCGAACCCACAACCTTTTGGTGTACAGGACAACACTCCAACCAAGTGAGCCATCCAGCCAGGGCCCACATGAACCATTTTTAAGTGCACAGTTCAGTGGCATTAAGTAATGGGTTGGCTAAAAAGTCCATCTGGTTTTTTCAGACAGTGGCTGTAGCAGCGCTCAGTTGTCTCCGACTCCACTCGAAACAGCTGTGTTGGGCTGTGTCTTGTGACAGCTGTCATGCCAGCGTGCATTTAAAAAAACACCAAAATGGGGGAATTTTTGTGCAGCCATTTTAATAATGAAGATGGAAGAAAATAAACGTTTTCAGCAATTATGCTTTAGTGTTTCAAGAAAGGTAAAGACGCAGCTGAAACACAAGAATAGGTGTGTGCAGTGTCTGGAGAAGGTGCTGTGACTGATCGAATGTGTCAAGAGTTTGCGAAGCTTCAAGCTGGAGACTTCTCGCCAGACGCTCCACCGTCGGGTAGGCCCGTCGAAGTTGATAGTGATCAAATCAAGACATTAATTGAGAACAATCAACATTTTACCACGTAGGAGATAGCTGACATACTCAAAATATCCAAATCAATAAAGTTATCGGTGAAAATGAAAAATGTGTCTTTTATTTCACAGGAAAAAAAACACACAGACTTTTTGGCCAACCCAGGACACGCACATTGTCGCGCAGCCCCCACACCCTTCCTGCCCAGGACTTTCCCATCTTCCCAAACAGAAACTCTTCCCCGCCTAGACAGTAATGCGCCCTCCCCAGGCCCTGGCGCCAGCCACCCACCTCCGGTCTCTATGGACCGGACTCCACCAGGGACCACGTGTAAGTGGGATCACACGGTATTTGTCCTTTTGTGTCCGGCTTATTTCACTCAAGGTCCATCTATGTGGCATGTGCCAGAATTTCCTTCCATTTTGAAGTGATCTTTCTGCTTTTTTTTAAACGTAAGTTTTTATGGAAAGTGACGCATGTATTGTACAAAGACGCATGCAGAAAAAAGTAAAGGCCTAAGTCCCTCTTCGCAAAGGCAGCTGCCCCCGGTATCCCAGGGGAGGTTAGCACCCAGTAGGAACAGGCTGGCAGCCTACACCTCCCTGGCCCATTGGGGGTCCCTCTGTCTCCTGACCCAGGGTTGTCTCCATGGTGGGGGCACTGCCAATGGGCCCCCCCCCCGCTCTGCATTGTGGGTAATATCTCCTGTACAGATATGCTCCTTCATGGGGGTGTCTGCTGTAAATTCCTAGGCACAGAACTCCTGGGTCCAACAGCCCATCTGGGGGAACCGGACCTGCCCTGGGCCGGCATCACTGCCGCCAGCTTCCCCTGCACAGGCTTCTTGCAGGGTGGCAGGGTGTCCCCATCCCAGTTTTCCTGTCCTGAGGGTGTCATCGGTCACGCATTGCCCAGAGACATGGGCCTGGGCTGAATTAGTCCCTGGTGGAGACTGCTCAGAAATGGGGAACAGCTCCTGGCTGAGACCCCTATCCAGTGTGGATGCTCCAGGCCTCTGTCCCCTGTACCCCGGGGCTGGGGGCAGGGACCTCAGTGTCTCAGCCTCTGGCCACACTGACTGCCCGCATTGCTCAGTCACTTCCTGTGGTTGACTAGATTAGGGCTTTGTGTGCCAAAACACACTACATCTGACCCCCTCTCCCACCCTTCATCCTTTTTTCTTCCTTGGCCCCCACTGCCCCTTTGGGGTCCTCCTGCTCCCAGGCACACGCTCCTGGCTGCCATGTCCCAGCACGGACCACCAAGGCCGAGAACCCCCAGTTCGCATCTCCCCAGGGCAGGACTTGTTGGAAGCCTCTCTCAGCCCTAGAGGGGAATGGGGGGTTGTGTGCAGGAAAGAGGAGTGACCTCCCCTCTGAGCCTCAGTTCCTTCGTCTGCACAGCGGGCCCCCATTAGAATGCTGGAACGTGGAGAGGCCAGAGGAAGGAGGCCCCCGGGACGTGGTTCGGGTGGTCTCCTGACCTCGGCTGGCCTGGCTGCCTCCCTCAAAGGCTCAGATGTGGCTGTGACCAGCCATTCCTAGGACCCCAGGCTGAGGGGGGGCCAGGGCAGAAGCAGGAGGAGCTCCCAGAGGAGGCAGTGCCAGGCTACCCTCAGACAGTCCTTGCAAGGCCACAGGGTCAGCAGCTCTGGCTGAGACCCACACCTCCAACCCAACTCGCAAGGCCCCTTCCCCCTCTGTGTCTCCCTTTGCGCCTGCCCAGGGAGCCATGCTGGGGCACCACTAAGGCAGCGAGAAGGTAGGGCGGCCCCCACAGAGATCCTAGAGGCTTGGGTGCATATGCAAGGGTTGGGGGGCCTTCACAGGCTCTGACCTATGACCTGGAAGGCAGGACTCTAGTCTTGCCCACCAGAGAGAGACAAGAAGTGGACATGGGGGGTGGCTTCAGGAAGGGCCACGAGCTCCTGATGGGGGACGTGACCTGGAGGCTGGGCTGCCGTGAGAGCTGTGACTGGCCAGCAGGAAGTGTTCACTTGGCCCACAGAGGCTTCCTGGGCTGGTCAGGGGCTGCTGCCCCGGACTTCCTCCCCAACCTTACTGGCCCAGTACTTGGGTCCCATGAGGCACCTCTGCCAAAAAAAGTGGCCCTGGCTACCAGGCCACCTCAGGTCATCCGTGGGCCTCCCACACACAGGCTGGCTGGGGGCAGAAGCTGGCTTATCTCGCCGGGCCCTGTCTCCTCCTTCGCCTGCATTCAGGAAGCTGGCGGTGGGGGTCCAGCAGACAGGAAACCCAAGGCCAGTTGGCTGAAGCCCAGAGAGCCCAGAGCGGCCGGTGCCCAGCCCTGACAGCATGTGGGTGCTCCTGCTGCTGTGGCCCCTGGCACTGGGGTTCAGCCCTGAGAGTGGTACCCAGACGCCCAGTGTCTACGACGAGGACGAGAGCACAGAGAGAGGAGACAGTGAGTGACTCCAGGCACTGCCTGGGGACTCGGGGGAGGCATCACAGGTGGGCAGGAGGGGACTAGGGGCCCTCCAGCTCGTCCCCAAGCCCCACGGGCTGGGGGTTTCTGGGTCATGTCTAGCTCTGTCCCACTGCCCTGGGGGCTCCTAGGAGCTGGGGCCTGGACTGCAGCCCCTGGGGAGTGGGATACCATTGCAGGAGAGACCAGCTGAAGGGCAGGGGATGACGCCTGGGTTCTCAGAGCCTCCACCCCCTTCCCTCCCTCAGATGGCACGTTGGGACCTTGGACTCAGCCCCAGGTGGTGACCCTGTGCCCATCCGGTCCAAGAAGCTTCCCCAGCTGGTCCTGTGCCAACAACAGTGACACTCTGGACCTTTGGGACAGCTCTCGGGCGCTGCTGCTAGGCTGGGTGCCCACAAGGCTGGTGCCCGCTCTCTACGGGCTGGCCCTGGGGGTGGGGCTGCCCGCCAATGGCCTGGCACTGTGGGTGCTGGCCACGCGGGTGCCTCGGCTGCCATCCACGGTGCTGCTCATGAACCTGGCAGCTGCTGACCTGCTGTTGGCCCTGGCCCTGCCACCCCGCATCGCTTACCATCTCCGGGGCCAGCGCTGGCCCTTTGGCGAGGCCACCTGCCGCCTGGACACAGCCGCACTTTATGGCCACATGTATTGCTCCATGCTGCTGCTGGCCGCCATCAGCCTGGACCGATACCTGGCTGTGGTGCACCCACTGCGCGCCCGCACCCTGCGAGGCCCGCGCCTAGCCACCGGGCTTTGCGCTCTGGCCTGGCTGGCAGCGGCAACCCTGGCGCTGCCCCTGGGGCTTCAGCAGCAGACCTTCCAGCTGTCACGCTCGGACCATGTACTCTGCCACGATGTGCTGCCCGTGGGTGCCCAGCTCTCCTACTGGCGACCGGCCTTCATCTGCCTGGCCGTGCTTGGCTGCCTCCTGCCCCTGCTGGCCATGCTGCTCTGCTACGGAGCCGCACTGCATGCACTGGCCGCCGGGGGCCGCCGCTACAGCCACGCGCTGAGGCTGACTGCACTGGTGCTGGCCTCCGCCCTGGTCTTCTTCGCGCCCAGCAATGTGCTGCTACTGCTGCACTACTCGGACCCAGGCTCGGAGGCCTGGGGGAACCTGTACGCAGCCTACATGCCCAGCCTGGCGCTCAGCACCCTCAACAGCTGCGTGGACCCCTTTGTCTACTACTATGTGTCCACCGAATTCAGGGACAAGGTGCAGGAGGCACTGCTTTGCTGGGTGCCGAGTTCCTCCACAACCTTCAGGGAAGGGCGCAGCCGGGGGATGGGCACCTTGTCCTCCTCACTTGTGTGACAGCCCCTCAGGTTGCAATGAAGAGAGGTTGCAGTGGGGTGAAGAGTATCTCCCCGCAGATGCACGTCCACTAGGAAGCTCTCATGAGCTTGTTTGGAGACAGGGTCTATGCAGTGGAATGAGTTAAGATGAGGTCCCACTGAGGTAGGCTTGGCCTTGAACCTTGTATGACTGATGTCCTTATAAGAGGACACAGGGACACAGGGAAGAAGGCCATGTGACCATGGAGTCAGAGATCATGGCCACAGCTTAGACACCAAAGGTTGCTGGCAGCCACCGGAAGCCAGGAGAGGAGCCTGGGAAAAGCTCTCCCTCAGGCCCTGCAGAAGGACCCAGAACTGAGACAATAAATTGCTGTTGTCTTAAGCCACCTGGCTTGTGGTGCTTGGTTAGAGCAACCCCAGGAAACCAAGACAGGGGTTAAATGCAGATCCCAGGGCCAGCCAGCTCCCTCCTGTGTCGCACTGGACCTGATGGAGAGCCCCACTCAGAAGGCTCAGGCCCTCTCACCCCCGCCCCGGTGGCCCAGGCAGTGGGGACCTGGTTAGTGCCTGGTTAGTGCCCCCTCACCCCCAGTGGTTTACTGCCTGCTCTGAACTGGGTGGGAGGGCGACACCAGGTGGGGAAAGGCAGCTGCCACGCCCCCTCTTTGCACCTGAGAGCAGCTCTGGTTGTCAAGAGCCACCGAGGCATCACCTGTGGGGGTCAGCGAACCTCCCAAGGCAGAGGGCCGTGGGGGTCATTCCCTGGACTGCGCACTGGGTCTGCGTCTCTGGTCTGGGGAAAATGAGCTGGGGCAGCCCTGGGACACGTGCACACACACACATGCACACACATGCACACACTCCCCCTGGGGAAGTGTAAGATCAGGGAAGTGCTCCCATGGCAGTGGCCCGGTGTGCTGATGTACTGAGACACCGCCAACTGGGGGAGCCTGAGTAGGGGCGGGCGCTGGGACCTCTCTGTAGGGGTGCAATTTCTTACAAACGCCCAGGAACCTGATCGTCTTGGGGTGCAGGTGTGCAACTCCCTTCTCCCCACCCTGCCCTAGAAGGTTGGGCTGTTGAGGAAGGAACAGGGGCCTGGGCACTGGATGGGAACTGGGACTCTCGTTTTCAGGGGCTGGCCCCCCAAGGCCAAAGCTTGCCAGTGACTCTGTGGAAACAAGCTTTTATTACACCAGTAGCCTCCAGCGATTGAAAAACGGGGTCTAGGTCAGTGACCTGTCCCTCACAGACTGTAGGGGTCAGGGCATGGGAAATGGGCTGGGGCGCCACCTCAGGCCCTGGAGGGGCTTCTGAAATAAATACCACCTGGCGTGGGAGGCGGGCAGACAGGCAGACTGGAGGATTACAAAGGAATCAGAGCACAGCTGGAAGGTCCTGGCAGAAGGCGGCTCTGAGCATGCGGCTTCCATGGGTTGTGGAGCCGGGCACCTGCCCCTGGGCTGCAGAGGGAGTGGAGCCCCTCCAGGTGGGGTGCGGGGTCCAGGGGTTCAGGGGAGAGGCCTCGACAGCAGTAAGGTCCAGGTGCATCCGCCCAAGACTAAACATTCAGGCACCTCTGGGGCCAGACTGGGCGGGGGGTGTGGGGACTTCCTGCAACAGTGTGGGTACAGGTCAGAGCGGGGCTGAGGGGCGCACGGATGCTGTGTCCTTGGTTTGTCTGGAGTCGTATCTTCTCAGAAACAGTCCTTAGGCCATGAGCTCTTTCCAGAAACATCCCTCCTCCCTAGAGCAGAATGTCCAGCTGAGGAAGCTGCTCTGGTCCACAGAAAAGGGAGGCCCAGCCCTGGGATGGAGGCTGGGGTACTTAGAGCTCCAGCTGCAGCTGGGGAGTCAGGGCCAAAGGGCTCCCAGCCACCCCCAAAAAGGCCTTCCCTCTGGCAGAGGTGGGGGCTGGGCCACCAGAGGTCAGTTACCCGTCAGGCAGGTCAGGTCTCTGCAGTTGGGTTTATGGGATGCATTTGGGGGTGGGGTCACCTGGGACGGGGTCCACCAGCCCGACAGGCAGTCAAGGGAGCTCTGTAGTCAGTGGCCTCCTTTCTGCGGAGGACTAGAACAGATGCAGCCAGACCAGGTCCCACTCGGAGCATCAGGAAGAGAAGCCGCTCTGACTGCGTGGGAGAGAAGGAGGAAGTCGTTGTGGGCTGACAGGTCTTGCGGCCAAGCGCCCTTCCCTGACCCTGCCTCCACGTGGCACAGCCCCGGCCCATTGCGACAGCACAGCTCACCCGGGGCTGTCACCTCTGTGAAGGGCTGAGCAGCCTGTGTGGGACCACTAGCCAAATCGAAAAACCATCTGTGGACCTCAACTCGCTGTGAAAACGGAGGAACTATTGATACATAAAACCGCAGGATGCGTCTCCACTGAGGGAGAAAGCCAGTCTCAGAGGTGGCACACTCCACACTTCCTTTGTGGAGGGCAGGTGGGGCAGGGATGAGGGCGGCCCGAAAGGCAGCAACAGGGGTCCTGGAGGTGAGGGGCTGTCCTGTGTCTTGACTGGGGTCGTGGTCACCCAAACCTACACAGGAGAAGAGCTTGCAGACTCAGGTGCAGATGAGCGCATGTGAGCGTGGTGACAGGGGAATGAGGCGGGTGGACTGCATGCACATCAGCTTCCTGCTGTCACACTGTGTTCTGGTTCTGCAAGGTGTCAAGGGGAGGGGGGATGGAGATCCTTGTGTTATTTCTTTTTTAAAAAAAGATTGATTGATTGATTGATTTTTGGAGAGAGGAAAGGAGGGGTAGAAAGAGGAGAGAAACATCCACCAGTTGCCCCTCAAGAGCCCCCAACCAGGACCTGGTCCACAACCCAGGCACATGCCCTGACCAGGAATTGAACCAGTGAACCCTCAGTTTGCAGGCCACCGGTCAATCCACTGAGCCACTCCAGCCTGGGCTGTGCTATTTCTTACAACCGTGTGTGAACCTATGATGACCTCAGATTTAAAAGTTTAACAACCCCCCCAAACAAAAACAAAAGCAGACCCCCTCAGAAGGCCCTGAAAAGAGCTGGCAGGTACGGAAGGGGGTGGCAGTGCTCGGGAGCACGCAGCTGTGCGTGAGGCAGCTGTGCGTGAGGCAGCTGTGCGTGAGGCAGCTGCAGCATGAAGCGTGGGCGAGACCGAGACTCGGAGACACTGGGCTTCAGCAGTGACACATGGCTGCTGAATCGGTACAGCACTCACCCCCGACAGACGGGGAAGTTTAAGGATGACTATTGTCATCCCCAACGCCGCCACTAAAACAAAAATAAGGCTAAAGGATACTAGCGAAATTCAAATGAAATTCTAAAAAAAAAAATATTCAGTTAATCCAAGAGAGAGCATGAAGGAAGGAACAGATGGGACAAAAAAAAATATTCCAACAGGAGCCTTATCAATAATTATATTAAATGCTCGTGGGCTAAACCCACTGCCTGGTACCAGACGAGGCATCCCTGAAGCTCTGGGGCTTTGGTGGGTGCCGGTGGACAGGCATTCTTGCTGCGCTGGCCAAGCGGGCATTAGAACCGGCCTTTGCCACTGGGATGGGGTGGCCAAGAGCCTCCTCCGGGGAGTCGGAGCTCAGAGGGCAGAGCCTGAGGCCGACAGTGCAGCCAGCCCTGGAGCAGGTACGGGGCTGAGCTGACAACTCAACCTGCTGCTGTAACCTCTTGAGTTGAGTTTGCTGTAACATACACCCAAAAGATTGGCCTGCTTGCCCTGGCCAGGTGGCTCAGATGGTTGGAGTATCTTCCCATACACCAAAAGGCTGTGGGTTCGATTCCTGGTCAGGGCACAAGGCACATACTAGGTTGCAGGTTTGATCCCCGGTCGGGGAGTACCTCTGGCAACTGATCTCTCTCTCTCTCTCTCTCTCTCAAATAGCCTCGGGTGAGGATTAAAATAAGGTTTGTCCCCCTCTGGGAAGTCTGCTCAGAAGCCCCCTCCCGGCCTCACCCCTCAGGGCTCTCCCATGGTCTGACTACCCCCACTGGGGTGACAAAGGTCCTCTCCCTGACTCAACTCCATGCAGGCTCCTCTGGGCTCTTTTTCAACTAGGTCTCTCCAGCCTTGAACTGCCGTGTTCATCTTGCTACTGTCAATCGTAGCAAGAATCCTAAGTCAGTTTAGCCAGAATTCCCACCCTCCATATCTGATCATTTTCGTAGCTAACCAGGGTCCACCCCCGCCCCCCATCAATCCTCCCCTGCCGCCCACCCCTGGGAGGATGACCGATCTCCCAGCCCGCCTTCAGCAAGAATCCTGTTAGGTCGGTTTAGCCAGGCCCCCCCGACCCGAAGTTTCCTCTGAGTCATTCTCCATACACTCACTGCCCCACCCAGCTCCTTAGCTACAAATCCTCACTTCTTGTGCTCAGAGTCAGGGCCAATGTCTCTCCCCACCCCGAGGCTCCCTCTACCTCTCTCCATACCCACCCCCTTGAACAGAACCGGACTCCTGTGTGTCAGGAATATTTTCCTGAACAGTGGTCCTGAGCCCAGTGCGTCTCAGGAGCAGGCCTGGGGCCTGGTCCTCTGGGGGGTGGGGGGGGCGGTGCTCGGCTGCACCCTGCACACACAGGCCGTTCCCTGATGTGCGCTGCATGGATGCAGCTGGGGAGACGGGACCCCCACCTTGTCCTGGAAACCATCCCCCAAGGCTGACCCTCCACTGCCTGGGTGCAGGGCTAGCAGAGGGGGCTGGGGACAGACCAGCCCTCTCCTGTCTTCTGCCTCCCCCTCCAAGTCCATGGCCTCATGGGTGCCCAGGGCGCCCAGAATCCAGAGGGACCAGGTCATAGTTGAAGTTATAGGCAGAGGCTGGTCTCGGCTGCTCTGGAAAGAAGGGAGACCTAGCAGGTCAAGGGTGCTGGAGGGGGAGGACTTGATGGGGCGGGGAGACTTAGCAAGATTGAGAAGAAGGTGCAAAGGGACCCAGGAACTAAGAAAGGGATACGGGGGATGACAGGAACAGAGATGCAGACTGGGGGAGAGAGGAAAGGGCCACAAAGAACAAGGAAAGCTGTGAGGAGTGAGGATACAGAGGGAGCCGCCTCAGCAGGGGAGGAGAGACCCAGACCCAGGAGGCAGACCCGGGAGGCAGGGGAGGGGCGGGAAACGAGGTTCAGAGTCGGGAGGAGGGAAACAGAGAGAAGAAAACAGAAGTGGGAGGAGAGACCCGCAGGGGGGAGGTGTGGACACAGGCAGGCAGGGACCAGGGCCGGGGAAGAGAGGCCCTCGCCAAGGGACACGGAGGCAGGGGCTGCTCAGCAGAGCAGTGACAGGAAGGTAAAGGGAGGGGA